GAATGCTAGGATTAAAGGTGTGTGTCACTACTGTCTGGCCTCTATGTTTAATCTAGTGGCTTGTTCTGTTCTCTGATCTTCAGGCATATTTTACTAGGGTACACAATATATCACCACAAAGTCCAAAGAACGCCATCCAGGCTGGTAGATCCTTAATATATCCCTCGTGTCTAAGGTAGGTTTAAAGACTCAGTCTGAAGTTGCTGGCCTTGGGGCAAAGTGTCTAGCACGCCATGCTGTGAGACTATAGGAAATATCTGTATAGGACTCCACGAAGCCTAGGTCCACAGTGATGGCCTAATAATTAACTCCACACAGGTCAGCTGGTCCTGGGAGCTGCCTGGGGCCTGCTGCCATGCAGATGACCAGTGTTGAGGGAAGTCTCCAGCTGTTGATGAAGGCTTCCTTGTGAATGTCCCCACACTGGTTAGAAACCTGGCTCCTGTCATCCACCAGGTACTCATACATTTGTTTACTTTGTTTGATGTAACATAAAGTATTACTTCCATATACCTAAAAAAAAAATTATGAAAGACCTGCTCTTTAAAAAATGAAATGAGGGCTGGAGAGATGGATCAGTTGTTAAGAGCACTGGCTGTTCTTCCAGAGGTCCTGAGTTCAACTCCCAGCAACCACATGGTGGCTCCCAACCACCTATAATGAGATCTGGTGCCATTTTCTGGCATGCAGGCAGAACACTGTATACATAATAAATAAATCTTAAAAAAAGAAAAAGAAAAAGAAAAAGAAAAGGGGTCACATGCCAATGCTTCATATTCAAATAGGACCTGAGAAAGTCTGTAAGAGTAGCTTATAAATTCTAAGCCACATAAGGTGGTAAAATTCCTACAGTTAGCAATTGTAAGACACACAATCAAGAGTAGAAGAGGAACCTAGTGTGGTGGCACACGCCTTTAATCTCAGCACTAAGTTCGAGGTCAACCTGGTCAACACAGTCTGTTTTAGGACAGCCAAGGCTGTGTGGAAAGACCCTGTCTCAAAAAACAGAGAGGAGAAAGACTTTGAAAGAAGAGATTTGATGGGATTGAGAGGAAGTAAGACACAATAATACAGAGGCTTTGATCAAAAAACATGATATATAACGTGAAATTATAAAAGAATGAATCATTTTTAAAGCAAGATATTCAGGGGAGAATAGTAGAAATGAAGAAAAAGAAAGGAAGGAAGGAAGGAAGAAGGGAGGAAGGGAAGAACAGAAACAACACTGGAGCCCAGCTGTTTGAGTGATTTATTTTTCAAGTATGTTTGCCTTTTTACCCATCAATAAACATAGCATTTCTAAAGTCACCACTGAGGTCTCCAAACGTCTGCTAGTTCACATGAGGCCAGGCCACTGAGAAGTCAGGGTCATTTCTTTCTTTCAAAAAATTTCTGCAAAAGAGAAAGTTTAGATTCTTAAAGATACAGTGTTTCTGAGAAAGAAACATTTGTCCTTAAGCCTTGTTCCCACTGGCTGACACACCGGTGGCTGACACCATGACCTGTCCACTGGGCACTGAGAAATCTGGAGGAGCCCAGTGTGTCGACAGAAAACTCTAAGGATGGAGTCAATGGTTACAAATGCAGATGAACTAGGAAACAGGCATTTAAAAGAGGCATGCCTTTAATCCTAGCACTCAAGAGACAGAGGCAGGCAGAGTTCGAGGTCAGCCTGGTCTACAGAGCAAGTTCCAGGACAGTTGGGGCCTCACAGAGAGACTGTATTTAAAAAAAAAAAAAAAAAAAAAAAAAAGGCTGTGTGATGTATCAATGAATTACTTTCCCAGTGTGGAAGACATTTCCCCCCCCTCCCTCCCTCCCTGTGTGTGTGTGTGTGTGTGTGTGTGTGTGTGTGTGTGTCTGTGTGTCTGTGTGTCTGTGTGTGTATATGTCTTGGTGGGGGCTTGAAATAAGTGTATATCTGTGTGTATGTATCTGTATGTGCATGTCTATACATGTCTGGGGTGTGTTTGTTTCTCTGTATGTCTCTGTGTGTGTATAATTAATGATATGTCTTTGTGTCTGTCTGTCTCTACATGTGTTAGCTATACATGTCTATGGGAGGAGCATGTGGATGTGTCTATGTATGTCTGTGTATGTCTGCGGGTGTCTAGATGTGTCTGCATATATGTCTGTATCTGTCTATCTGTATGTATGAGTGTTTGTCTGCGTGTGGGTCTATGTGGGGGTCTCTGTGTATGTATGAGTGCTTGTCTGTGTGTGGGTCTGTGTGTGGGTCTTGTGTGGGGGTCTCTATGTATGTATGAGTGTCTGTCTGTGTGTGGGTCTGTGTGTGGGTCTGTGTGTATGTATGAGTGTCTGTCTGTGTGTGGGTCTCTGTGTATGTATGAGTGCTTGTCTGTGTGTGGGTCTTGTGTGTGCCTCAGATTTGGGCAATTTTGGTTTTATGTTGAAGAATAACAGTCTAGTGACAATGTCCCCCACACATCTTCAGCTCACCCCAGTTGGTGCACAGATGTTCCCACAGTAGGTCCAGCAGCATGTGTGATTTTTTTGTAGACATCTGAAACGTCTAGAACACTTCTTTTTACAATCGTTAACTTTTGGCTGTCCCCAGCACTCCTGAAGTGACAGCTCTCTCTCTGAAATTGAAAGGAAATGGTTAAAAACTAATAGAGCCCCACAGTCAGTCAAAGACCAGCCCTTTCTGAAGTCAGAGCTTCCTTCCAGAATCTGAGACCCATATCCCTGTCAAGGTGTCTGTCTTCTGTGTCTCCTCACGGTGATGCCATTGCATTGGCCCTGACCTCACAGACTCTCCACTGAGTTCATTACCTCAGCTCCCACAGTACTTACCAGATTCTGTCTGCCCCCGGCATACATATCCCCAACTGTAAAGTATAGATTGGCTCGACAAGAGATATGGAAGTCTGAGGTATCTACTAGCTTCATTACAAGACCTATCTCAGGTAGACAGAGAGAGTATGAATAAGCTTTCTGGGTTTTGTTTTGTTTTCTTTTTCTTTTCTTTTCTTTTCTTTTTTTTTTTTTAGTAGCTGTTTGTAAATTTTTTTAATTTTATTTTACAATACTATTCAGTTCTACATAATGGCCACAGATTCCCTTGTTCTCTCCCTTCCTGCCCCCCTCCCCTTCCCCCCAGCCCACCCCCCATTCCCACCTCCTCCAGATCAAGGTCTCCCCCGAGGACTGGGATCAACCTGATAGACTCAGTCCAGGCAGGTCCAGTCCCCTCCTCCCAGAATGAGCCAAGCGTCCCTGCCTAAGTCCCAGGTTTCAAACAGCCAGCTCATGCAACGAGCCCAGGACATGGGACAAATAACCAAACGAATGTTTTCCTTTTTTTTTTGAGATGGGCTCTCTTGTAGCGTAGGCTATCCTTGAACTCCTGTAAAGCTGAAGATGCCTCTGAACCCCTGCTTCAACCTCCCAAGTGCTGGGATTACAGGCATGATCACCATGCCTGGCTTGAACCAGGTTTTCTCTATGTTCCTTCCTGTCTGGCTGTTCCATGACACACACATGGAGGTCAGAGCACAGCTTTGTGGAGTCAGTTCTCTCCCTCCACATTTATGTGGGTTCCAAACTCAGGTCCCCAGGTTGTCACGGCAAGTGCTGCCCCCATTGAACGACTTCCCTGGCCTCTCCCCAGATCCTTATCTCTCAGTCCACTTTCTTTACCCCCTCCACTGACTCCCGTCTCTTCTCACAGGACCCATGGCTCTGCTCACTAAGGACTCCGGCGCCTTCTCAACATTCTAAAAGCCACCTACACTATAAAGTCTCTTTAATTGTCAGGGACCAAACATGAACCATGGAAAAGTACTAGCTAGGCCAGAGAACAAGCCACAGGTCCTAAACCAGATGCCCCCAAAGATAAAGAACAGGTCCGGTAGGTCAGGTAGCACAGCAACAGAACAATGGGCCCTGACCAGTGACCTTACCACCCAGCACAACACCCTGCAGCCTCACGGACATCGGCACATCGTGCACCCCTTCCCTCCTTCCTGCCCCCTCCCCCTCCCATGCTATATAAGCCTTGCTGAGGAGAATAAAATTTGCAGCTTGATTAGAGCCCTGTCTTGCTGTGTTCTTTCGTTTCTCCCCGTCCCTTTCATTCTCTCCCGCAGGTGGGTCGCCCCCCGCCCCCGTTGACACCCCGGCCGGGGCATTTAATAGATACCCACTTTGTTCTCATGAAAAGAATCACAGAACTTCTATAACTATGGAGGAAGGAGCTCTGCATTAGCTCTCCACCCTCAGAGGCACTGGGAAATACTCTATCTAGCTGCGCGCGGTGTATGTATGAACGTTGTTGTTTGGGAAGTTTCCCAGCTGGAGGATTTCTCGGGTTCTCCAACTGCCAATCTGGGAAGGTGGAACCTGAATCACAATGCCAGACACCCACTCCCTTGTCCAGAAGTGAGCACAGCTCCTGGCCCTGGCTCACAAGGAGTCCTCGCTACCTACGAGAGTACTTCTTCTTTTTCCATCCCGGGGCAGGCAGCAGGAGCACGCAGAGGAACAGGACCAACAGGAGCATTGAAGGCTTCATGATGCTGACCAACAGTGTCTGGAGACGCTTTTTTTCTTGCCTTCCCAGGAGCTGCTGGAGATCAAACATATAAGCTGAGGGACAAAGGTGTGAACCACGGAGAAGCACCTATAGGTTTTTAAATATTCAATCTTCTAGTTAGAAGCCAGATCTCATTACAGATGGTTGTGAGCCACCAGGTGGTTGCTTGGAATTGAACTTAGGACCCCTGGAAGAGCAGCCAGTGCTCTTAACCTCTGAGCCATCTCTCCAGCCCGTCATTTGTTTCTTATTCTTAGCCATTCTCACTGGGGTGAGTTGAACTCCCCAAGCAGCTTTAATTTGCACTTCCCTAATGACTAAGGACATCATTGAACACTTAAAAATACTCATTAGCTCCCACTGTTAGGAGTCCCGCAAGAAGATTAAGCCACACAACTGTCCCATATACGCAGAGGGCCTTTATGGTGATATTTTATTTGTACTAAAATGTTATTTGTATGTTAATAAATAAAGTTGCCCAGGGGTCAGAGATATTAGCAAGCCACAGGAAAGCTGGGCTGTGGTGGTGCACGCCTTTAATCCCAGCTCTTGGTAGGCAGAGCTAGGTAGGTCTCTGTGTGTTCAGAGATACAGCCAGCATTGAATACGCATGCCTTTAATCTCAATACCAATCATAGAAAACCTGGAGATCTATACAGACAGGCTGTGATGAGGTGGTCATGTGGTTGGGTTTACAACCAATGAGAAGGCAGAACAGAAACACTGTAAAAAGACAGACACACAGGAAGTAGCTCTGGTTCGGAGAGGTAGGACCACCGCAGGAGGAAGGGTAAGGTTTTAGCTCTTAGCTCTGACCTCTTGGCTTTCTTCTTTGCATTGGTTCTGTTTTTCTTATTTAGTAAGACGGTTGGTTACATCTACATGTATATTTCTAACTGGCCTTGGTCAGTTCCACACAGGCTCCCTGGCTGTCAGTTCAGACTCTGTGAGTTCCCATGAGGTTAGCTGATTCTGTGAGTTTTCTGATGATGTCTTTGACTGCTCTGGTTCCTACAATCCTCCCTCTCTCTCACTCCCTGACTCCTTGACTGCCTTTTGGGACCCTATTCCTCAGGGGTTCCCTTGCCCAGCCTTAACCCAAGGGGAGGTTCTTAGTCTTATTGAAACTTGATATGCCACATTTTGTTGACATCCACAGGAGACCTGCCCCTTTCTGAACAGAAACTGTGGAGGAGTGGAGTGGAAAAGAAAGAGGAAGGGGAGGGGAGGGGAGGGGAGAGGAGAGAGGGGGAAACTGCAGTCAGTATGTAAAATAAATAAATAAATAAATATAAATAAATAAATAAATAAATAAATAAATAAATAAATAAATAAATAAATAAATAAATAAATAAATGGAGAAAGACTTATTGGCTGTTTGTGTTTGTTCTTCTGAGAATTACCTGTTTGGCTCATCGGCCTATTTATTGATAGGCAAGGGATTTGGGGTGTTTAATTTTATAGTTATTTATATATTCTAGATATTGGCCTATTCTTTCATCCTATAAGCTGTCTGTTCACCTTGCTAACAGTTTTCTTTGCCTTTCAGAAATGTTTTAATTTTATAAAATCCCATTTATAATTATTGAGTGATTTCTTGTACTGCTGGAGTGCTGAGCAGGCAGTTCTTGCCTCTGCCTACATCCTGAAGAGGCATCACTGTTTTCCTCTAGCAGTTTCAACAACCCAGACATATTTAAAAAAAAACAAAACAAAACAAGCTCTCACTATGTAGCTCTGGATGGACTGGAACTCACCTTGTGGAGTAGACAAGAGAGATGCAGTCATGAAATCTCAACAGTATGGTTGCCTAAACAAAATTCAGGCTGGCCTTAAACCCAGAGGTTTGTCTGACTAGGCATGTACCACCAAGTCTAGCAGCAATTCCTATTTAAATTACCATTTTAATTGATTATTGGCTGGGTGTATTCTCTAGAGAATGATAAGATTCCATTGTGCACCACAGTTTCATTGTCTATTCAGCTGTTGACGGATGTCTAGGCTGATTCTCATTTGGAGTGGGGTAGAGAGAGGCTGATCCTTGAAGCTCATTGGCCAACCAGCCTAGCCAAAGCCATGCATTTCAGGTTAAAAAGACTGTTTCCAAATATAAATGTGAAGGGTGATGGAGAATATATACCCAACTTCAACCTCCACATGCACACATATATGTACAAATGTCACACACAAACACCATGTTCATGCTCATACACACTCATGCACAAACACACAGAGAAACAAAAAATTCTTTTAAAAAGGTAAAGAAGCAACACCAAATGCTATCAATAATGTGGGGAAGGGAAAAGTCACATGCTGCTGATAGGAATGTAATCTCGGGGAGCTGCTATGGGAATCACTCTGGAGGGTATTCCTAAAAACCAAAAATAGAACTATCATGTGATCTAGCTACACCACCCTTGGCTGGGTACTAGAAGGATTCTAAATCAGCATATCACATAGAAACTTGGGCATCCATGTACAGTGTTGCACTAATTAGAATCATCAGGAAACAGAAACACCCCTCATTGAGGAATACCAGAAGACACCATAAAAGCTTTCAAAGTAATCAATAATCTTACCTAGCTATGACACCTATGAACCACAAGGACCAGCAAGGCACAATAACCCTAAGAGTACAGTAGTGGCACTCATTCCTTGGTGATAGCCAACAGATCTCTGGTTGGACCTAAGACCCACTAAACAAAAGGGAAACCATGCCTGGTACTGGAAACCTAGCTGATACCCAGGGCTCATGAATTCACGGACCTTGGAGGAGAACCCACAGCCGCCACTTTGCTAAACCTGCATAATCCCTAGCCATATTCTAAGTATTTATCTTTGTATCAACAGTTGAGTGCAGTTCTCACCCTCATCAAGGAAACCTTTCTTGGCAACAAACAGAGACAATTTCTGGAAACCTTGACTTATCAAAATGCCAAGTTCTGGATCTCAGTCACAACTGATACATCTACAACACAGCCCTTGCACCTAAGGCTCAGTCAGGGACCATCTGAGAAGAGGGTTTGGGAAGAATTTAAGAGCCAGAGGAACAGGAAGTTTTCTGTGAGCGTGTGTCTCCTAGATATATCAGGGAAACTACAGGCGTGAAGTCTTACCAACATGGCTGGCAAACATGACCTGAACAACGATGACATCAATAGACACGCCCATGCAGCGGGAGAAAGCACACAGAGTCTGGGTCCTGGACAAAGAACCACAAGCAGCTAAGGAATGCTAGGAATGGGAGGAATCATCTTCCCCAGAGAAGAGCACACCAACTGGGCATCCAATACTAAAGGGTCAGCCCTGAAAACATACATGCAAGTAACATTATCTATAGCAGGTTTTATTTATATATACTTAGAAATATGTATGTTCTTAATGTATATCATTTATATCAGTATAAACATATATATGTGTGTGTGTGTATGTATATATACAGTTAAGGAAAAAGAAAGAAGCTGTGAGCCGGGCGTTGGTGGCGCACGCCTTTAATCCCAGCACTCGGGAGGCAGAGCCAGGCGGATCTCTGTGAGTTCGAGGCCAGCCTGG